CTTCAGAGATCAGTATTTCAGCCTTCCTGTGATTGCTCCAAAGCACTTAGACTGGAATCTAAACATGGTTTTGATAATGTAGATTATTTAGAATATTACTGTAATGAAGGAATAACAGAGAGAAATTCTTCAAGGTAAATTCCATATAGTTCTGCAGAAGCCTTCAGCATTTCATTACTTCTTTAATGTGTAGATGCCAAATCAAAATCTATGACTATAAAACACAAAGTATTGCCTAATCCAGCTTTATCAGATGGACACACACCTCCCTGTAGAGCATCTCAGACCCAATCTGTGCAGGCCACTCCGAAAACCAGCTTCACAATAAGCCAGCAACAAGGTGGTACTGAAAGCACAGGGTTTGTAAGACAATGCTCTGTTTGAATCAAGGCCAAAGCACAAAGGAAATTGAAGTTCACTATAGAAATATGTTTGAAACTTTTAAAAAAAATTTTAATTCTACTTCTGATCTGATTTAATTTGATTTTATTTACATTTAATTGAACTTTTAAAGTTGCCTTTAGGCTGCCATTCAGGATGAGATACCTTAAGTCTGGATTTGTATTTTCTTACCTCTTGAAGATTTAAATAGAAAATACAGCTGCATTTACGGTTCATTTAAATGGAGATAGCTCATTCTGAAAGCAAATTGTGAATTCAAGGAAGTACTTAAAAAAAAATAATCTTTTAAAAGCTCTCAAGATTTTGAATGAAACTTCTGGATGTCTGGTTCTGTTGAACATTGGAAAAGAATACATCACTATGCACTTAGTTTGCAATTATTTGTCAATAATTACAAATTCTTCCCTCTAAGATTTTAAGAACTCCATGTATTGCAATAACCCATGAACTTAAATAGCTTGGAATTGTGTCTTTTTTTTATCTGCTACACATGAAGGACTCATCTGTCATAACTTTCCTCCTGTATTCTCACAGTACCTCTGTATTTGTGGGGTTCCCCCCTTTCAACAACCACATCATGGTTGTGCCTCAAGGTACCACAATCAAAAACCAGATCCTTCTCCTGTGTCACTCCAGCTATTGATGGAAATCCAATTCTAGATTGATAGATTCTTACTGGTCCTGAAGATATGAAATGCAGTATTAGAGCACGTGAGACCACGCACACACCTAGCAGTCCAAATCCTGGGATCACTCAGCTCTGCCTCTTTAATGCCAACATTGCCACTCATTACAAGTTAATCATTCATTAACCACTGAGATGTTACCCAGCCTTAACTCCTTCCTTGCTACCCACAACCTCCAGCTCAGTCTTTAGCTGGTTTTATTTCAATTTTTAGTTTTTCTTCTTCTCAGTTGATCAATCTCTTTTCCCATGTCACAGGGACACCTGGCTTCTCCTCTAGATATTTCTCAAGTAGCTATAAATCTTCCTAGGTTTGGAATAAGTCCTTGTAAAAACACCTCTCCCTTTCTTACTCTTCATTTTTCAAGTGTTACAGGGGTTCCATTAAAATATCTGTAACAACAAGAAAAAAA